TCGATTTAGAAATATTTTCGATTTGACAGTTGAAAGTGTTCTCTTTTTATACAAATTTGCTAACAAATAATATACACGGTGTCACAGATTATCCGTATCACTCGATTTTTTTTGTAAACACGACATTTTAGGGAAAAATGTTTCAGACAAAAGTTGTCCAAATTAATTGGTGGAAAAAGATGATTAAAAAATGGAATAAAAAATAGGTTTTCTGTTTGAAAAAAGCAATGATCAGTGAATATCTCGAAAGTAGCGCCATCTGTAAACAAAATGATATAGTTGTCATACAGGGTGTCCCATTTTAAAGGACCCACACAAATATCTCAGAAACATTGCGTTAAATTGAAAAATGCTTAAGACAAAAGTTGTTTAGCTTGAAGGGGGACATAGGGCAGCGATAGCGTTTTGTTTATAGATGGCGCCACTTTCGAGATATTCATTGATTATCAATTTTCTTAAATGGAAATCCCAGTTTTTTATTACATCATCTTTTTCTACCAATTAATTTAAACAACTTTTGTCTGAAACATTTTTTTATTTGCTTAATATATTTTGAGATATTTAGGGAAAACTTGATAACTTTTCCAACATTTACCTTACGATATCTCATTAACTATTCGTCGAAGGAAAAAATAGTATTAGACTTTTTTACTTTATTTACTATCAAGAATATATTACTATAATAGTGCCCTAACTTTTATTAACTTATCGACCTTCAGAAATTTCAAATTTATTAAATTAATCAAAGTAGGGTAGTTAGGGCACTATTATAGTAGTATATTCTTGATAAATAAAGTAGAATGATAAATAAAGTAGATAAATAAAGTAGGTAAATAAAGTAGAAAAGTCTAATACTATTTTTTCTTTCGACAAATAGTTAGCAAGATATCGTAAAGTAAATGTTGGAAAAGTTACCAAGTTTTCCTTAAATATCTCAAAATATTAGGTTGGGGAAAAAGAAATCCATTATTTTTTCGTTTATTTCAAGGCTTTATTTAACATAGTTATTAGGATTGTTCGATTTTGGTCAAATAAGCACCGTTTTGTCCTACAATTTGTCGCCATTTTAAAGGTAATTTCATGATCCCTCTTTCATAGAAGCCCTGGTCCTTATTTGCAAAAAACTCGACTAAGCGATTTTCACAGTCTTTTCTTGAGGTCAATTTCTTACCATCAAGGAAGTTTTGCAATGACAAAAACAGAATCGCTTGGTGCCAGGTCCGGACTATAAGGTGGATGCATCAAAACTTCCCAATCAAGCTCCCGGAGTTTCTGACGAATTACTATAGACGTATGTGGCCTGGCATTGTCCTGATGAAAAACAATTCCTCTCCTATTAACCAATTCTGGCCGCTTCTGGTCGATCGCTAGCTTCAAACGGTCCAATTGTTGACAATAGAGGTCCGAATTTTGTGTTTGGCCATATGAAAGCAGCTCATGGTGGATGATTCCTTTATAGTCCCACCAAATACTCAGCAAAACCTCCCTGGCTTAATCCTGGTTTGGCCACCGTTTGAGCCATTTCGCTGCGCTTTGACCACAATCGTTTTCGCACAATATTGTCGTATCTATTCCATTTCTCATCCCCAGTCACCATCCGTTTCAGAAATGGCTCGATTTCGTTCCGTTTGGTCAAGGCTTCGCAGATTGAAATTCGGTCCATCATGTTTTTTTGCGTCAATTCGTGTGGCACTCAATTATCGAGCTTTTTTTTGAATCCAGCTTTATGCAAATGGTTTAAAACTGTTTTGTGGTCGATCTTCAGCTCTTGGGCGATACTACGACTGCTAACATGCCAGTCTACTTCGATCATTTCCATAATTTTATTGACATTTTCGACAACGGGCCTACCTGTGCGAGATGCATCTTTAACATCAAAATTACCAGGACGGAATCGACGAAACCAAAATTGCGCGTGATTGGCTGTGACAATATCGGGACCATAAACACCATTCACAATTTCAACCGCCTGGCTTGCATTTTCGCCTTTATCGAAGCAAAATTATAAAATATACCGAATTTTCTCTTTATTGACGTACATCTTTTTACGTGCTATAACTCACAACTTAATCGACAAATCACAAAAACGTTAAAGAATTTTTTTAGTACGGAATGTCACTTTTCCAACGAGTATAAATATTAACCTATGCGATTAATACATCACGTTATATATATACTACTAAAGTCATCTAGCGGAAAAATAATGGATTTCTTTTTCCCCAACCTAATCTATTAAGCAAATAAAAAAATGTTTCCGACAAAAGACGTTCAAATTAATTGGTAGAAAAAGATGATATAAATAATTTGGATTTCCATTTAAGAAAATTGATAATCAGTAAATATTTTGAAAGTGGCGCCATCTATAAACAAAATGCTATCGCTGCCCTATGTCCCCCTTCAAGCTAAACAACTTTTGTCTTAAGCATTTTTTGATATAACGCAGTGTTTCTGAGATATTTGAGTGGGTCCTTTAAAGTGGGACACCCTGTATGACAATTTTTCGAATAAAAGTAATTTCTTTTCGAATCTAGAATCCACTAACGTTAAAATTCTTTGAAGGTGTCCATTTAAAAAAAACGAAGCTTGGTACCCTCTATCCCACAAAGGGCAATTGCGGAAAATGAAAATAAACTTACATGAAAGAGCACACTGGGCCGAGAAAGTCGAACCCAAGGATATTAAAATCGATTCAACCGTTTCAGAGCTATTGAGATGTAATACTTTATTTAGTTCACCTTGTGTGTGTGTGTGTGTATACGTACACATACACTGGGGAGCAACATATCATGCCGTGTCAGGAGAAGTAGGGGAGACCGGGGATAGTTGATACACGGGGCACGTTGATATATTTAAAATTATTGCAAAATGACAAACAGTAAAATTGCATAAAAAATATAGTAATTCTGCAAAAACATTGCGGTCAGATTGTAATAAGTTATTTCAGGCTTATTAGTGTATTTTTAGAAACAAAAAACATTTTTAGTTTTTGAAAGTCAAAAATAAAATAAATCAAACGTATATATTATGTTAATAAATCTGGTCATTATATTATGATTGCAACAGTTTATTTAGAATCTTCATTTTAAAAATAATAATTTTTAGTTATATTGACGGCTTGAAATATACTTTTGTTTATAGAATAACCAAAATATGTAAATATGGTGAGCTGGGGCTGGTTGTTACAGGGTCTGTTGTTAAGGCGGTCAGCTATTTACTGTAACTTACTGCACTAGTTCAGTAAGTGCACTAACTCACTAATGCAATTAAAATAATTGACAAATATGCTTTTATGTTTATACCATTGATAAATATATTTATGTTTATATCACTAATGCTACATGAATATATATTTATCTGCAAAATATTAATAATTATGTTATGCACATTTCTAATTTATTTCTAATCATTAAATATATTCTTTGAAATACAGAGATCTGTAACAACTGATCCCGATAACTGTAACAACTGACCTCATACATGAAGTTAGTTGTTACAAATGCTGTCGCCATATATTTTTCATTGATGCAACAAAGTTAATAGAAATATTCAATTGAAAAAATAATTTTTGTGTTGTATATGCATGTAGTTATTAAAAAATTCTCATACCGTTTATATTCCATTTGTTACTTACGCTTAAAAAATTCATTAAAAAAAACTGTATCAACTAGCTCCGGTCTCCCCTACTTCCCCTGACGCGGCACGATACAATGCTCCCCAATGTGCTTCATGAAGTTTTCTCGAATTGAAATCTGAGCAATAGCGACAATTATGGCGATTGTGTGTACCATATAAAATCAGATTATACCAGATAAATAACGCATTTGTTGGAAAAACATATACTGTCGTCGAAAAGTTTCCTAGAGAATACCTAAACCTAAACTTAAAATCTCGCGTCTTGAGGCTTCTTGCATCAACAATATTTGACTTCATGGTATACCCAAATTGTTTACATAACATACACTGGGGAGCACCGTATCGTGCCGCATCAGGGGAAATACTTCTCCTTCGGCAGCCCCCACTTACATTTCCTCCACGCTTCCTTCTTTAGCGATCCGATCGCCAGAGAAGGAAACGAGGAGAAAGTACGCAGTAGATAGGGACCGCCGGAGGAGAAGTACTTTCCCTTTTTTTTTTATCACGGTGGGGAAATCTTCATGGATACCCCCACCTTAAGGGGGCGGGGGTTGTGCCAGACTTTTACCGGCTAAAACCCTACCGGAGTGTTTGCCAGGCGGGCCGGAGTGTGGGGAATCGGAGGAACTGCGCCTGCACTCCCTCCCCGACACTCTGGCTCTAGGGCTCTCAAGGAGCCCCTCGCCCAAATGCCGCGCTCCCTCCCACAAAGGGAGTCAGGGGCGTGGTGTCCCGGCCGGTTGCCCGGTCGGGTTGGTCTCCTGGTCCTAACTACAGGAGAGACGGGACACCCACCCTCTCTCCTAGCCCTCCTCTCTAACGGAGGGGAGCGGGGGAGTCCCCCGGGCCCGTCCCCTCTAAACAGGCCGCCACTCCCCCTCTACCTACCCTTACCGTCGTGCGGGGGGAGGCAGGTTTAAGCCCGTCGCCCCCCCCCCCTCCGCGCAGACGGTGACGGGCCCGAGGCGGCCGAGGAGGCCCCCGACGAATCGAGGGTGGCTCCTCGGCCGGCGCTACCTCGGGTCCGCTGAAAGTACTTCCCCTGACGCAGCACGATATAATGCTCCCCAGTGTACATATCCAACACTTAAAAAAAATGAAATAAATTTTGTTTTAATAAGATTACTTAAAAATTCAACTTTTAAAATATGAGCATTTAAGAAACACAATAATTTAAGATATTTGTATCTTATATCATTTGCGGGTTATTATTTTTTATACAAAATATGGCGAATACAAAATTTATAACTCTCGGAAATTTTTAACGAATAATTAGAAATTTTGTGTATTTTAACTTTTGTAATATAAATGTACATGAAAATTCGAGTTGTTTTCAGGATAAATTTGAAAATGTTTTTATATTGTAGGCATTTATGCAGAAGAACCGGAGAAATTGGTAGGAGGAACTCGTACTGCTATACAGGAAAATGCACATGCTGTGTCTATACAAATGAATGGACAACATTTTTGTTCTGGTAGCATAATTAATAACGATGCTATTCTTACCGCTGCCCATTGCGTAACAGAGCTCGTGGCTATACCTCATATGCTGAGTTCTGTAACCGTTGTTAGTGGTTCGACGTACAATAATATGATAGACAATAATGGACAAAGACACCGAGTAAAGCAAGCATATTACTATCCTGGCTACCAACAAAGTTCGGGTAGAACACCAGGCGGTGACATTGGTATCCTTAAGGTAATTAATATGATTATGACGTTTAAGAAAACGTAAATACGTAGACTGCTGAAAAAGTTTCTGCAAACGATATGAAAAAAACATGTAAAATTCGGTAAATGGCTTTATTGTTTTTCAAAGTATTTACCTTTAAGATCGATACACTTTTGCATATGCTCGAACCAATTTTCGAAGCATTTTTTCCATTCTGAGGCTGTAACCTCAGAAACCAATGTTCGGAATGCTTCAACAGCTGCTTTAGGCGACATAAATCGCTCATCACGCATCTTATGTTTGATGTTTAGGACGGTTAGAGTCATTAGGTGATAAATCAGGTGAAAACAGACAACGAGTCATCAATTCGACATTTTTACTGGATAAAAAATCAACGGTTTGACGTGCTGAGTGACAGCTGGCGTTGTCATGATGAAGAATGATGCGACGATTTCGATTTCCATTTTCTCACAAAATAACTTCTTTTAAAATACTGTGCAAACAAAACTAGTTGACAACTGGTTACAAACTGTCAACCAAATTATAGGTTAGAAACGTCTAATTTCACGGGTATGATAGTAGCAAAAGGGTGCCGCCACTGCAAGTACTAGATTGCAGAAACTTTTCCAGCAGCCCTAATATTAGGTGTACAATTTAATTTGGTGCCCTTTTTATGAAATTCGAAGTTTATTTCATAAAAAGACAAGTACACGTTTAATATTCGAAATAACTCCATTATTTCTGATGACTTTACTTCATCTTTCGGGCAACTGACGAATGCCCTCGCAAAAGAAATTTGGTGGTTTTGACTCGATAAAGTCATCGATGCATTCTCGGATTTCGTCAACTATTTTAAAGTGCTTATCAATTAGATGATGTTACAGCGATCGAAATAGGTGGTAGTCCGATGGAGTGAGATCTGGTGAATAAGTCGCGTGAGAGAAAAATTCCCAGTCCAATGTGTAAATGACGTCATTTGTCCCTTTTGTGACATATGATTGAGTGTTGTCGTGCTGTAAAATCATTTGCCTACTTACATTGCTAATATAAGGCTTCTTTTACTCCAACGCATCACTCAAACGGATAAGTTGTTGTTGACAATACTCCACAGTAACAGTCTGGCCAGGATCCAGCAACTCGTAATGCATATCTTTCGTATTCCACCAGATATTTAGCAAAACTTTTTTGCATGATTATTGGGCTTCGTAGTCGATGTCGACAGTTGGCTAGGATCTATCATAATTTTTTGCGTTTAAGATTATCATATTGTTGCGCGTGTCCGTCTCGCGCGTACCGGATCCGCGAAATGAACTGACACAGGATTAGAGGAAAAGAAGAACACCGCTTTACTTCCAATATGTACAGACTCACGAATATCCTCTCGTCTGAACAATATTAAAAAGAAACGTCTAAGTCACGTCTGCTCGCGGCGACGGCTCGTGATAGACTCCGCTGCTATTGTTTTTCAACAAACTCCTGTCGTCCAGACAAACATCCTTCAACTGTCAAAATCCATATGCCTAAGGCTCGCGGACAACGGACGCTTCCACACTCCTTGTGCCTCGTACACAACAATATAATGCCCATTTTATATCACCCGTAATGATCTTGTACAGAAAATCTTTTCTTTTAAATTAGATCAGCAAAGACATTGCCGGATCTTCGCTTTTTGTTTTCTAAGCTTAAATAGCTTGTGCAGAACCTATCTATTCTCCTTCTGAATTTTATCAAGTTGATGTAGACAATGAGATATACATTGTTGAGTAACCCCGTGTTGTAATGCAAGCTCCTGTTGAATTTAAGCAGAGTCTTCAGTCAACAATTACTCGAGTTCCTCGTCGCCAAATTTTTGTGGTTGACCCGGGTATTGTCGATCCGAAAGATCAAAATTTCCATTCCGAAATCTCTTGTACCACTTTTTACACGTTTTATGTGTTACAGAGTTTTCATCCAGAGCGACACAAATCATCTCCATAGCTTCAGTAGTATTTTTCTTTAATTAAAATGCGAAAGAAATGTGTCTCAAATGCTGCTTATCGTGCCATCATGTTCATTGCTGTTTTGTGAAATTATGTCACCTGCTTCGCCAAAATATATAATGTTTTGAAAACCTAGTCGTATACATTTACGAACTACAAAATGGCGAAGAACTATTTAGTTTTGAAACGGAATAATAATGCACGAAATGTAAAGGCACCAAATTAATTTGAATACTTGATATATAGGGTGTGGCAAAAGTCTGGAAACACTCAAATATTAAAAACTTAAAAACTTAATTAAAAAAAAAACGTTTCAGACAAAAGTTGTAAGATTTAAAAAGACGCATTGAACGGTAATATCCGCTTTACTTTGGGTGGCGTTGCCAAAGTCAGGTCAAGGTCAACCTGATATTTGTAAATGGAATCTCCCACTTTTGATTACATATTCTTGTAGCTTACCTCGAGAGCTTTTCAAAACACTATAACAAAGTTTTATTTCGTTAAGTACTTTCCGAGTTATGAGGCGCGAAGGTTGCAGTACCGCCGACATTAGCATTACCCAAGATGTACCGTATGGAGATTGCACGGTCGAATTTACATCTCGTGTGTGCGTGCGTGTGTGCGTGTATGTGTGTGTGCGTGCGTGCGTGTGTACGTATGCGCATGCGTGTATAAAAAAGTGAGTGAGTGAACAATTGAATGAGTATGCGTCTACAAATATAAATATTCGAATTGTTGACCTTCAATTTGACACTGAAGCAGTCGATCATGAAAGCTCCTACTAACATTTTCCAATGTTTCGGAGGTAATTAATGCCACTTCAGTGGTAATTCGGTGTCGCAAATCATCCACATTTTGAGGTTTTGTTTTGTAAACGCGATCTTTTAAATATCAAATATCAATCGATATTATTTCTGTTATTCGCAATATTTCCAGTTTAAATTTTGATACAGTTTGGTTTCAGCAGTATGGTGCCCCTCCACATTTTGGATTGCAGGTACGACAGTTTTTAAATGACATTTTTCCTGAAATGAAATTTCCTGAATGGTTAGGAAGAAGGGGACCAATCGAATGGCCACCCCGATCACCTGACATGAATCCCTTGGAGTTTTTCTTTTGGGGCTATTTAAAAGATCGCGTTTACAAAACAAAACCTCAAAATTTGGATGATTTGCAACACCGAGTTACCACTAAACTGGCATTAATTACCTCCGAAACATTGGAAAATCTTAGTAGGAGCTTTCATGATCGACTGCTTCAGTGTCGAATTGAAGAAGGTCAACAATTCGAACATTTATATTTGTAGACGCATACTCATTCAATCACTCACTCATTCACTTTTTTACACACGCACGCACACACGCACGCACACACACACGCACACACGAGATGTAAATTCGACCGTGCAATCTCCACGCGGTACATCTTGGGTAATGCTAATGTCGGCGGTGCTGCAACCTTCGTGCCTCATAACTCGGAAAGTACTTAACGAAAAAAACTTTGTTATAGCGTTTTAAAAAGCTCTCGAGCTAAGCTACAAGAATATGTAATAAAAAGTGGGAGTTTCTATTTACAAATATCAGGTTGATCTTGACCTGACTTTGGCAACGCCACCCAAAGTAAAGCGGATATTACCGTTCAATGCGTCTTTTTAAATCTTACAACTTTTGTCTGAAACGTTTTATTTTTTAATTCAGTTTTTAAGAGATATTTAAGTGTTTCCAGACTTTTGCTACACCCTGTATAATATTATCTATCATAATGATACCGCCAAAAGATATATACGTGCCCCTTAATTCATTCCGAGGCATTCATAGAGCATAGAACGGATTAAGATAAACCTAAAACTTCTATGCTATTTTACGATATTCGCAATAATTATCGAGTAATTAATTTTAGAAATTTGACGAATGAGCGCGTATTAGTTATCGAGATAGTATTAGAGAAGCATTTCACCCGTTCAAGCTATAGTGCGGTCTAATCAATCTAACAACTATTGCCGACATGCGGCGAGGGAAATGACAATGCGCCGTTACTTATGTTTTATCTTACTGTCCCTATGTGTCACCGCGCGTTGGCAACAGTTACTGAATCGACTGAGCTGCGCTACAGCTCGAGCGGCTGAAATGCTCCTCCAATATTATGTTAGCGCACACTCATTCGTCAGATTTTCATGATTAATAACTCGATAATTATTGCGAAAAACACAAAACGGTATGAAAGTTTTATGTTTGTCTTAATCTGTTATACTACTGTCATCAAAAAGTATCCGAACTTTAATTTTAAACATCAAAATTACAATTCAATCATCAAAATTCTTATAGTTCCCTTCAAAGTAGTCCCCATTGCTTACAACGCACATATGCCAGCGTTTAATCCAGTCTTGGAAACATCGCTCATACGCGGCAGACAGTATGGCCTTCAATTCACGCAGCGATTTTTCTTTGATATTCTCAATCGATTCGAAACGCTGTCCGCAAAGTGGTTTTTCAGTAGGGGGAACAGGAAAAAGTCGCAGGGGACCATGTCTGGTGAATACGGTGCTTGCGGAGCGACATTCGTTGAGTTTTTTGTCAGAAATTCACGCACAAGTGTCGAGGTACGCGATGGTGCAAAATCCACGAGTTGTTTTCCCACAATTCCGGTCGTTTCTTACGGATTGTGTGCTGGCACGATCCAAATGATATTCCAGCTTCATCTGCTTTCTCTCGCACAGTCAATCGACGATTTTGGAGCACCAATTCTTTCACTTTCTCAATGTGAGCGTCATCCGTTGACGTTGATGGTCTTCCAGAATGTGAGTCGTCTTCAATGGATTCTCGTCCTTCTTGAAACTTCTTAAACCACTCAAACATACTTGTTTTCGATAAACAATCATCGCCATAAGCTTTTTGCAGCGTTTTGAATGCGCTTGTGAATGAAATTTCGTTCGAAACACAAAATTTCAAACAAATTCTTTGCTCCATATTTTTCGACATCGTAAAAATCGCCGTGCGCAACAATCTTCACTGACATAAACAACTACCACTTTCAAACGGCTTGAAGGAACGCCATGATTTTTTCACCAAATGTGAAGGACATATGTACCAACTTAAGAAAGCAAACGGATTTTATTAACAGTTTACTCGCGATTTTTAAAAAATAAAGTTAGAATACTTTTTGATCACAGTAGTATGTCTCCTCAGAGTGTATTATAGGGCACTCTGTATATTTATTATGTACATTTAAGCATGTTCAAACAGGTTCTAAAATATACAGATTGTCCATCAGAACACATGACAAAGTTTGTATGCGTATACAAGGTCTGATGTAAGATACGCAATAACCAATATAAACGATCAATAGAACATGTCTGAATACGAGGACCCTTGTCAGTTTGTAAACAATTATGTGAAATTTCCAGTTATTCATAAAAAAATATTGGTAAATTAGTGCGCGCGACGTTGTGAGACGGGCTCTGTAGATGCGAGCTTACCGAAAATTTATTCGACGTATCGAAAAACAATTTCTCGCGCGGCGCCGCGTCATTGTTACGTCCTCAACTACTATTTAACTACTTACCAGTAGCTACTACCGCTAATTGTAAGAGGCAGTCGCTTCATTGCGTGTTTTGTGTTAGACACCCCTCAGAAGTAAAGAAAGTTCTTTATTTATTCATTTTATGAACCATCATATAAAATTTCAAATCATTAACGAAAAAAGACCGGCAAATCAGCGCGCGCGATGTAGTGAGTTGGCTCGATCGCGTGCAAAAAAAAACTTGGCTGCGTAATTGTTTCTTAGCAACGATTGGTATAGGATTTTGGACAACAAACGATTGTTTACGCGCCTATTACATCTTTTCTCCGTCTTTCGCTGTCATCTGATACTGATCATTGCAAATAAATAATCGTGCAGTCAATTTTTTTTCATGAGATCGCATGGTTCCAGGACATCGTGTACACTTTAGTTAGTTAATTTTTCTTTATCAATAACTCGAAATTTTACGTAACTTTTTCAAAAATGAAAAAAGACTATTCTACTCAGTTTGATTCGTTTTATTCGGACATGAACTTTGTTATATATTAAGACCGATACTCTGCATATAACATGCATTGATTTGCAATATATTTCTTCTTGCTGTCAATAAATATTATATTAATTCGAGTGTATTAAATCATTAAATATAATCAGACTAATACTATTGTTTAGCTTATTAAAATAAAATATTTTCAGCTGTCTCAACCCATGGTATTCAACGAGCGTCAAAAGCCAGTTAAGCTTCCATTTAAAAATATTATACCAGGTGTACCTTTAAAGGTTGTAACTTGGGGTGCACAAGGATTTAGACAACGTGTGCATAATGATTTAAGGAAAATAGAAGGGAATAGCATGGAAGCATCAGAATGTCAAAGATACCATCGTTATATGAAAATTGATAAATTAGAGTTCTGTATTCTCATCCGTGCTAAAGTTGGAACGTGCAATGTATGTAATCGTATTTATAATGAAATGTTTAATATATTTCACAGTAAAAATATATTACTTTAATAAACATAGATGATAAGTATAACATAATATTTTTATCTCAGGGTGACAGCGGTGGCGGTGTTATTTCGCGAATCGATGGAACCATTGTCGGCTTAGTCTCTGGTGGAATGCCATGTGCCCACGGTATTCCAGACGTATACACCACTGTTCACCCTTACTCCTCTTGGATCAGGTCAATTGTATCCGGCATTTAATTTTATCTCTTTTTATATATGTACTGTATGTTTCAATAAACGTTATTAACTGAGCACCACAATATTGTGTATAATTAATCTCAATTATTACTTAACCATTTTTGCATCAGAAAAACTTCCTTTATTGTTTCTTAGTCCATTGAAAAATTTTCGGTCAAATTATCGTATTTTCGCAAAGATCAGGTCGCACTATATTAACTTTATCATATTTAAAATAATGAAATAAAACGTTGACGAATAATATAAAATAGTGACGATTATTTATTTAATCCTTTCCAACAATTCCGGCATTCTTTCGTTTTCTTATTACTTTAATTTTTTTTACCATAGCCGAAAATGATTCATGAATACAGATGAATAATTTATTAGGATAATTAAATATGAAAATGTTAAAATATGGGAAAAATAGGATCACTTGGATTCCATACGCTTGGATTCTATTTTTTTACGCTCAATAGTAGATCGTGCAACCAAACTAATCGCAACACATTTTTTTTTATCAAAAATGACTCGTTATTTCTCGTTATTTACAAAACTGTTCAACTTAACAGCTTGAGCACGACTTTGTAATTTGTTATTCTTTCAATATTAACAGCTGATGGAAACTGTTAACTCTGTTACTGGAAGACTATCACCGGTGAATCAATATACCCTGCAATACTTTGCGCGACATGCATATAACACTGTTCCCCTTCCTAAAAATTATCGTCTCGATAACTCCTTTCTATAGCATTTCCTCTTCAGTATTAACTCCGGAGTTCTAAAATTTTCTCCTGCTCTTCCTTGAGCTAATGCTTTAAGTTATTATAAATGACATTTGTTTCAGTTAAGTATTTCGGTTTCTTATTTCTACACAGGATCTTATAAAATTCTTCTCCTTTCTTCCTTTTCACTTCTTCAGACAAGAGATAATTTGATAATTTTGAAATTTCCAAAAGTTGATAAGTTAATAAAAGTTAGGGCACTATTGTAGCAATATATTCTTGAAATTAAATAAAGTAAAAAGTTCTTATACTATTTTCTTTTTCGACAAATAGTTAGTAAGATATCGTAAGTTAAATGTTGAAAAAGTTACCAAGTTTTCCTTAAATATTAAAAAGAATATTAGGCAAATAAAAACATGTTTTAGACAAACGTTGTTTAAATTAATTGGTAGAAAAAGATGATATTATAAAAAATTGGGATTTCCATTTAAGAAAATTGATGATCAGTGAATATCTCAAAAGTGGCGCCATCTGTAAACAAAATGATAAAGTTGTTTTATGTCCTCTTTGAAACCATATACAACTTAGTATCTTTCATGTTTTTCGAAATTTTTGCCTCACTTTTGGCTCATTTAAAATGGGACATTCTAGTATATGATAGTGATCCTGATTTTCATTTTCATGTCTGTTTAGTATCAAACGATAATTGCTTTATACAGGAATCCAGTACTGGACAAAATAAAGTACGCACCTCGAATATTTTCATTTGCGTGAACAACTTAGTAGTCTTGATAGATAGAAAGGAAATATGTATATTCGAACAAATAGAAGGTTTTATTAATTTACTTCTAAGTATAAAAAAATATATTAAACTTCCTTCAATAGTTAAATCCCTTACAATTATTATTATATTTATCTTGGACAAAATAAGATACATAGATAATAATAAAGAGCAAATTAAAGATAAGATTTAAAACTATTAGGTGTACAAATGAATAATCCAAATTATTTTAAGCAGTTATGAAGTCAATTTTAATTTGAATAGATTTTCCCGCTCTTTTGTGATCATGCAATATTGACATATAGCTATTAAAAAGAACATATAGTTTGGTGAAAGGCGAAAGGCGAAAGACGAACATAACCTTCAAAAGTATTCAGTTCGGTACAGTCGAAAATGGCAACAGATAAGGTACATATCCGACACTGCATTCTTTACGAATTCCAACAAGGAAAAAATGCTGCAAGAGCGTGCGAATTGATTTGTTCCTTTCTCGGCGAAGATGTTGTATCGTACGATGTGTGCGCATTTTCGTTTAAGCGGTTTAAAAGCGGTAATTTCAGTCTAATCGACAAACAACGCCCTCTGAAGTGCGATAATGATGATTTGGAACAACTGCTCGCTGAGAATTCGGCACAAACATAAAAAGAGCTTGCAGAACAGTTGGGAGTAACGCAGCAAACGATTTCCAAACGCCTACATGAGATGGGAAAGATCCAGAAAGAAGGAAAATGGGTGCCTAACCGCATGAACTCACTGAAACCAATAAAAATCAACGAGTGGCAGCGTGTCTTTCTCTTCTCAATAAGCAGCGTCGAAAGTCTTTCTTGTGGAAAATCGTTACGGGCGATGAGAAATGGATACTCTATGACAATCCGAAACGCAGAAAGTCATGGGTAAATCCCGGCGAATCATCAAAATCGGTCCCAAAACCCAATCGCTTCGGAAAGAAGGTTCTTCTCTACATTTAGTGGGATATCAAGGGCGTGCTTTATTATGAGTTGTTGGAACCGGATGAAACAGTTACTGCGTGGACTGCTACCAACGTCAATTAATCTGCTTGAGTCAAGAATTGGAATGAAAACGCTCGTATACTAGCAAAGGAGAACGTCCAGTGAAACTGTTGCATGACAACGCCAAGCCACACATTGCTTCCAATACAAAGGACACCATAATGAGTCTTGGCTGGGACGTCTTGCAGTACTCGGCGTATTCACCAGACATTGCTCCATCCGATTATCACTTGTTCCGGTCGATGCAACACGCCTTGTCCGATATGCACTTCGAATCAGTGGATGAGATTCGAAAATGGCTTGACAACTTTATCGTGTCCAAAGACATAACATTTTTCCGAGATGGAATTCATCAGCTGCCTGAAAGATGGTTTAAAGTTATAGAAAGCAACGGCGAATACTTTGATTGAACAATTTAATTTACTTTCTTTTCAAATGAACCTTGAATGTAGCTGAAAAAATTGGATTATTCATTTGTACACCTAATAATATTTCGTATGGCTGCCTTTGCTTATATAATCGCTTGCCAACGTTGAGAATTACTCTTGACTAGATTTCGAATGTCCTGCTGGTCATTGTTTTTCTATACTTTTTCCAAGACTTCGAACGGCTTGATCTTATTCGTTACGTCACTCTTACTAATTTTTTAGTCTAAACTGGACCACACACGCATATAATAAAATAGACCACAAGTTTTCAATTGGGTTTAAATACGAAAGTCATGCCGAAAGTTTCTAGATATTTAAAATCAGAAAGCCTTACGACAATAAAACTCAGTACATTTGAAAAAGCATCTCCTCTACTGAATAATAAATTAGTATGGAAAACTTGAATTTACTGGTTTAAGAAAGGGTAGTTGTAGTGTGTCGGTTATTTTAAGTCCGTCAATCGATTGCGATGAAGCTCGAGATTTTCGTGCTATGATTTTTTACAATTTTAAATTTGGTTTCATCAAGACCAACATCATGAACGTTTGGTGAATTATTTTGGGGACTTGACTCCATCATGTGCTACAGTGTTCAACTGGTTCACCGAAACGTGAAGGCACAATTTAAACATAGAAGGCAGTCTTAAAAATGAGCCACACTTAGGCGTCTTCACATCGCAATATACAGGGTGTATCTGAATGGTCTGTACAAACTTTCAAGATATGTTCCAGGGACCAAAACAAGTAGAAAATGAACATAGGGTCGAAAACGCTGCTTTCTAGAGTTATAACGGTTTGAAGTTTTCCTGCAGTAGAAGAAATTATAACGTTAAATAATATAGGAGTTGCAAACTGTATTTATTTATTTCTACGGATATAGCAAGACAATACACTTGCTATAACAAATGCTCAAAATGGCCTCCGTTAGATTCCAAGGAGGCCTGTGCACGCCGCCGCATTGATTGGCGAACCCATTGAAAAATACCAGGTATATTACGGATGATGTCGCAGCCATCCAAGATCCGTTGACGAAGAGTTGCAATATCTGGTACTAGGGCAGAATAAACAAGAGTTTTCAAATACCCCCAGAAGAAGTCCAATGAATTAATGTCAGGTGAGCGTGCTGGTCACGATATTAGTCTTGCCCGACCTATCCATCGGCCAGGATAGGTGGCATTTAAGAATTCTCTGGCAGGTCGACTGAAATGGGATGGTGCACCGTCATGCATAAACCGCATTCTTTGTCGTATAGGCAATAGCACATTCTTTAGGAGACTTGGAAGTTGATTTTTTTAAAAATCGCGATAGGCTTCACCATTTTGTTGGTTTTTCACCAATCTTGCTGTTAAAAAATACGGCCTAATCAAGTGATCGCCGATAATTCCTGCTCGAAAATTCAGGCTAAATTGCTGTTGATACCGAGGTTGCACAATACCGTGAGGATTTTCTTCTGCCCAGAGGTGATTGTTGTGAAAATTAATTATTCCATCCTTGTTAATACCAGCTTCATCCGTAAAAAGTAAAGAAAAATCAAAAACTGGATCCACATACTGCTGTAAAAACCATTCAGAAAACACCAATCTTGCTGGAAAATCTGCTGGAGAGAGTCTCTGGACTCTCTACAAATGATATGGATAAAATAGCTGTTCATGCAGAACTCTCCATACGGTAATGTGAGATGTTCTGCTGCTTGCAATTTTTCTTGTACTGATGCTGGAATTGTTGTCAACTTGATCTAAAATGCTTTCTTCAACATCAGTTGTTCGAACAGTTCTTGAAGCATCATAATTGGCTGTTACCGGCCTGAATTGCCCAGTTTCTCGTAGATCATCTCGGCGATCAACTGCTGCGAACGTTTGATAATTTGGAGTTCGACCGTCTGGAAAAGTTTCTTGGTACATTCGAAAGGCTAATCGTCCATTTCCACCGGCACGGCCATCCATCAGATGGATATCCGCCACTTCTTCAAATGAATATTCATTCATGTTTTTAAAATAGGCTTACAAACGAGCTTTGCAAACGATGCTTTTAACTGAAATACTTGCTTTTGGAGTTACGATGCTTTGAAATTTTCCAATAACTAAAGAACATATCACGTCAAATTACGTAGTCTCTTATTTGAAAACAAAACAAAACGGAA